TGAAACTGAGGCTATAGGCTAGTATGATACAAAATGGAAAAGGGAAAGGGAAAACTCTACCATAAACATGGAAAACTTTATTTCCAACAAAGTCACTTTGCCATCTAACAAATACAAAAAACACTTCCTCACTTTTTCCCATTTTCCAAATAACTTTTCCATGTACCAACCACCACATGCACTCTAAATTTTATAGGGAACAACCAGAAAGGAGTAATTTTTCAAGTATTAAAAACATGTTAGAGATTATGGCATCCTCAATACCTTAATTTAATTGTTGCTTAAATATCAGTCCTTCCTCCAAGGTGCAATTTTTAAACCCAAAAAAAAAAACATGCAAACAATTGCAGGGGCTATAAAACTATCATAATTTGAATAATTTACAGCATTATAAAAATAACAGACATGTCAATTTGACCAAATTCGGAGCAATATTTTAAGACAGAACAAAACATCATTTGTGCTTGTGAAATTGCCATACTTCTTTTTTTTTTTTTTTTTGAAGAAGAAGAAGTGAACACATTTTTGGCCAACTAATAATGCACACATGCTTTGACTTCAAAACTTTCAGCTGCTTGTCCAAACTCCACTCCAGCACATTGATTAGATGTATCGATATAAGACTTATTCTCTGCTAACGTACCGTTCTTATTGTTAGATATTTCTTCAAAAAATTCTCATATATAAAATTTCAAGTGATTAAAAAGAGAAAATTGTAGCTAGAATCAATTGTGCGTGTCTGTTTACGCTTAGCAAAATTGAAGAGAAATAAAAAAAAGAAATATTTAAAAATTACCTGGAATTGAGCACAACAAACCCTGCAATGCTCGCGACTTCACGGAGAGCTGTTCTCCACCTCAACACTTCTTCTTCTGTGAGTGAACTTCGTTGTATTAAATCTCGAAATGCTTCTCCAAAACCAGATATTTGATTACGAACTTCGGATGGACCCACCCCATATAGAACACAGGCAGAACAACTCGACCCTGTGCCCTGTGAAGCTCCATGATTTGTGAGAGCTCGTTAAGGCACCATCTAGAACCAGCATATTCTTTGGAGAAGATAATGATTGAAATTGTGGAAAGTTCAATTCCTCGTGACAATTCACTTGAGAGAGGATTCCCTCTGGGAAGGACCGCATCATCTTTGAAAACATGAATTCCAGCGCTCGATAGAGAGGAGTAGAGATGTGAGGTGAAAGTCGCTCTAGTGTCTTCGCCTCTAAAGCTCAAAAACACGTCATACCGAGCCCTACCAGATGAACCACTTAAGGGGCAAAATCAGATTAACGCTCCTCCCAAATTATAAAATGCTTTGAAAAAAAATTTAATATTTTAAAATATAAAATACTTTAAAAAATAAATTTTTATTAATAATATTTTTTAATATTAACCTCTCATAATATCTTTTTTTAATATTTTTTATAAATGAAATATTCAATAAAAAATATTTTTAAAAGTTTATATTTTTATTTTAAAAAAGTAAAGTTGTAAAGTGTGTTTAATAAATTTTATTAATATGTATGATTTTATCAAAAAGTGTTTTATGATTTAGAATGGAGGGAATATTAAATTTCAAGAAGTAAGTACTATAATTGCAATTTTATCCTATTGTTATTGAATAAGTTCAAAACAATGTATTCATTGATATGTTTATTACTCTCTAAGGTTTTGGCTTGATTTTGCCCCAAAAAAAAAAAAAAGTGGTTTTGGTTTTATTTTAGGATTAATGTCTAGTTTTTCCTTTAAACTATTTTGCAACAACACTCCTAGACTTTTCTATTATAGCAATATCATCTTTAAAGTCAATAAATCTTAGCAATGTTACCCTTGACATTAAATGAGCAAATGTTGACCATTAACCTTGTGACTTAGAACTAAGTTCCTTAAAATAATTAAATCATAGTAATGTTTCTTAACGTAATTAAATCATAATAATATTACTCCTAACATAAAATTTGAGTTAGCAAAGTTAATGAACAATGTTTACCCATTTAAAGTCAAGGCCACATTATTATTTTTAAAAGTTTATATTTTTATTTTAAAAAAGTAAAGTTGTAAAGTGTGTTTAATGAATTTTATTGACATGTATGATTTTACTAAAAAAAATGCTTTATAATTTGAAATAGAAGGAGTATTAAATTTCAAAAAATAAATACTATAATTGCAATTTTATTCTATTGTTATTGAATAAGTTCAAAACAATGTATTCATTATTATGTTTATTACTTTCTAAGGTTTTGGCTTGATTTTGCCCCGAAAAAAAAAGTGGTTTTGGTTTTATTTTAGGATTAATGTCTAGTTTTGCCTTTGAACTATTTTCGCAACAACACTCTTAAACTTTTTTATTATAGTAATATCATCTTTAAAGTCAATAAATCTTAGCAATGTTACCCTTGACATTAAATGAGCAAATGTTAACCATTAACCTTGTGACTTAGAACTAAGTTCCTTAAAATAATTAAATCATATTAATGTTACTCTTAAAGTAGTTAAATCATAATAATATTACTCCTAACAAAGTTAATGATCAATGTTTACCCATTTAAAGTCAAGGTGACATTATTATTTTTAAAAGTTTATATTTTTGTATAAAATGTGTTTAATCAATTTTATTGGCATGTATGATTTTGCCAAAAAAATGTCTTATAATTTAAAACGGATTGAGTATTAAATTTCAAAAAGTAAGTACTATAATTGCAATTTTATCCTATTGTTATTGAATAAGTTCAAAACAATGTATTCATTGATATGTTTATTACTCTCTAAGGTTTTGGCTTGATTTTGCCCAAAAAAAATAAGTGGTTTTGGTTTTATTTTAGGATTAATGTCTAGTTTTTCCTTTAAGCTATTTTCGCAACAACACTCCTAAACTTTCTTGTTATAACAATATCATCTTTAAAGTCAATAAATCTTAGCAATATTACCCTTGACATTAAATGAGCAAATGTTGACCATTAACCTTGTGACTTGAAACTAAGTTCCTTAAAATAATTAAATCATATTAATGTTACTCTTAAAGTAATTAAATCATAATAATATTACTCCTAACATAAAATTATGTTAGCAAAGTTAATGATCAATGTTTACCCATTTAAAGTCAAAGCAATATTATTATGATTAAATTACTTCAAGGGTGACACTATTACACAAAAAGTTTAGGACAGTCAATGTTCCTACGAAATTAGTTCAATGGCAAAAATGGATATTAACTCTTGATTTACAATTACATATTCATGATTAGAGTACTTTAGAGTTGTCTCTTATCGCTAAAGCTTTAAATTTTTTCCTATTACCTTGTAAAATTTGTGAGGAGGTTCTAATTGAGAACCCGCCTAATTTCTATATTTGGTTGACTGTAGCGTGTTTGGAGGGCTCTTGTTAGCTGTGAGAGGCCTCAAGCTCGTGTTAAATTCGAACCCAGGTTTGAATGATAATTGTTGGAGGAGGCAGTTAGGATTTTGAATTTCTTGAGGTTCTTACGAATTAATCTTGGTTTAAATAATATCTATAATTTTTTTTTTTGGAGATTCTAGAGCATCTAATCGATGTAGAATATTTGTTTGGTGGACTGGAGGATTTCTAGAGTAAATTAATGCATGGAAATGAATTAAATGGAATATAGAGGATTGATTGAGTGAAGAAACAATAAGGAATGAGACTGATAATGGTGATCAACATAATTGGAGAAATTATAATTAGAACTTCTATTAATCGTCCCTTTAAATATATTATTATTGATGAACCCCATGCGGATTGAGTAGATTAATTTTGTTGCATTGTCATGGGCGAGTGGAGACCACAAATTGACTTGTATAAGTTAGGGAAGAGGTAACTACGTCTACCTTACCATGCATGCCTGGCATTCTGGTTTGATCTTTTTTATAGTGCATTAGTATTATGCAATATGTATGTATGTATTTTACATTTAGACATATAACCTAACCACTTGATTGATTTCGTTTTGTGAACTAGTTTTGTTAAGTGAGAATTTTGCCTCTTCAATAATGATCTGGAGTTTAGAACTGAAAAACTATATGCATGTTAATTGAAAAAGATTTATCATGATTCAATCACGTAAATGGGCTATGATGTTGAATTGTTGTTGAATGGGACTGAGTTGTTGGATGTAGTGAATATATGTTGATTATTTTTGCCATATGCTATGCCACTGCTACGTGCCTAACGGTTGGCCATTCTTAAAGCCTTGATATCTCTTTTTCCTTTGGCCAAGATTGTAAGGAGCTCTTGGCACACATAACACCTCTATGAAAGGTTTGAAAAGAGAAAAAACAAATGGACGGCTTAGTAGTAACTGGCAAGTTTCTTGTTTCTAGTCAGGCTACATATCTCCATTAGCAAGGTTGGAAAAGTTTAGTCATATAGATGGGTCTTGTTATTATAACTTATTAGTTACAAGTGATAAGGAAGAAATGATGAAAGATTTATGTAAGATAGTATTTGGATTAAATTTGAATTTAAAATCTTAGATTTCAAATCTCAAATTTAAAATCCATGTATTTTAAATTCATATACACACAAGTAAATCTAAATCCATAAATTTTAAAATGCCCAAACGAGATTTGACTTAAATTCATATTCATATGTATCTAAATATAACAATATATATTTGAGTAATGACTTTTGTGAACTGGAAAGCATGAGTTACATAATTTTGAATTGTTAATTTCACTTAATTAACTCTAAACCAACCCTTTATGTTTGTGTAAATAAGACTCTAATTATTTGAACCACGTGTCTCATTATTGTGGCTTAAACAATTTCAAGTGACTCAAATTTCAAAGAATCGATTATTTTGGCTAAAATCATGGTTTGGGAAAAAACACCCCAAACACCTCCATTTCTACATAATCAATTATTTACGATATAATCACATTTTACTTGAAGTTGGCAGCACTTGCTTATCAATTTTAATTTTTACAATTACCAGTATTTATTGTTTGTCGGAATGTTGACTCACCAAATATACCCCTCTCGAATGCCCCTTGCTTATATCCTCTCTCTATTGTCATTGGTGTTTCTGTGTGCTCCTGCCTCACTGCACCTCCACCTCTCTCCTCCCTTACCAAGTTATATATATTTTTTCCACAAATTAAGTTATTAATATTACCTTAAAATATAATTTAAATTTGTAATTAATTAGTATATAATTGTATGTTAAGTAATTATATAAATATTAAATGGATCGCTATTATATTTTTAATCAAATATATAATTTAAATGATATATTTTACTTCTTAAATAACATTTAACAAATTTAATAATATTAGATATAAATTTATTACTAATTTAATTTTTAAAAACAATGTTTTTTATAGTGATTTGTACAGTTAAAATTAATTTTAATTAAATTATTCAAACATCTTTAATTTTTTAAAATTAATTTTAAAAAAATAATATCAAAACAGATTGTATTATAATATAATCAATTATAATTAAAATAAATTATATTAATTAAATATTTTTATAATTAATTATAATCAACTGAAATTCAAATACATTCTTAAAATTTTATTGCATGTAAATGAATGATTTGTAATAAATTTATGATTTAAATGTTAGATGATCAATCATTATGACTCGATTTTAATTTTTTATATTTAACTATCATAAATTTATCTTTTCATAACATTTTATATTATTCAATCTATTATAACTATATGTCTCTCTCTTTTTTAACCAAAATATGCATGAGCTTGTTTAAAAACTTATTTTATGAACAATTTTTTATTTTTAAAATAAAAAATAAAAAATATTTGATAATATGTTTTTAACAAAAATCTTGGCAAAATATATTAAGTATACTCAATATACTTGTTTTTAATTAACTCAAGATATGTGTATAATTTATTATTATTTATTTTATAATAAATTTTTATTATTAATGTTATTAACATATTAAATAATTATATTTTAATGTAATTGAATAAAAATATATTAAATATATAAGGTTAAGAGAAAATACTTCGAAAGTGCCTCTAACCAAATCTGACCAAATCATTATTTTTTTTAAAAATATTTTTATTAATAATAACTTTATATTTATTGTAAGATGTTTAATAAAGATAAAGTTAATTGAAAAGTAGGTAATTATTTTATTAGAAGTAAAATTTAATTAAAAATATATTATATTTTTTTATTTCTAATTAAATCAAGACATAAGTGTAATCTATGATCATTTATTCTATAATAAATTTTTATTATTAATATTATTAATATATTAAAATAATTATATTTTAATGTGGTTGAATAAAAGTATATTAAATATATAATGTTAAGATTAAATACCTTATAATTGCCTCCCCCCAACGCCATACATCATGATCCTCATCCGAAGCAGCACCAGTACCGAAAAAAGTCCATCCTTTTGTCATCGGAGACTGCGACCGTTTCAACCTTTATGCCCGCAAATGAGAGTTGGGGGTTATACAATCATCAACCAATCAAATCTAATTTCAAAATACATATTTCAATCATCTGAAAAGAGCAAATTACATTTTGCCTTGTTAAACTTGAAAATACATATTTCAATCATCTTACTTTTACTTGACTTCAAAACTTGAAAAGAGCAAATTACATTTTGCCTTGTTAAACTGAAAACTCTGTCATAGAAATCACCGATTCCTCTATTATTTTCCAGAAGAATCGGTGATATATGCTCTCCTTTCTCCGATGAATTTTAAAATAAGAAAAACCAAAGAATCCGTTGAAATTAAAACAGCGTCGTTTCGTTAAAACTCAACAAGTGATCGATCAAAGACTGGATCAGGAACAGATCAAATAGAAAGATGAAAGCAGATTAGTTGTTTAGGGTCAGATCGAGATTAGATGGGAAGTTACCTGTCAAGCTGGGGTGATCGATGAGAGATTGATCTTATTTATCTATCGCATCGATCAGAATAAGATTGAGAGATACGAGGCTTTTGCTGCTTTTAAATCTCGCTCCATGAGAATTTTCCGGAGAAATGAGGATGTGAATCATGTGATGAAGGCTCTAGTGAAAGTATTCACGAAGCTGCCCAGGAAAGTAAAGCTAAAGCGTTTAAACTTTAAAGGCTTTTCTTTTTTCACAAGAAAGTCTTGTACGTTTGGAACGGGAGTCAGTCAATTAACACAGGGGAACGGCCATGATAAGAAATCTGAACCGTCGAGATTCTGAATGGTTCAGATTAACAATTTTTACTTTTATTTTTATTTCATAATCATTAAAATAAAAATTATAAAAAATATTAAATCTATTTTATTATCAATTGAATCATATATACTTAATCTTATAGTTCAATTCAATATTAAAATTTTTAAAAATTTTAGAAATTAATTATCTAGAATTGCTCTGGGTAGTCTTTTTTTAAAATTTTTAACTCACAATTATTTTAAAGTTTTAATTTAGATATTATCTTTCTTTTAGGGATTTAGGATTTTAAATTAACATGTTATTGAATTAATTAAAAAATTAGTATTGATTGTTAAAATTAGTAATGATAAGTACCTTTATTATCTTCAAACTAAAGTAAGTTAGATTATATGACTTGTACTTTAATGCTACAGGCAAGTTTTTTTGGATGCGATAAAGCACTATAGCCTTGATGAGAAAGAAAATAAGTTGAAATTGAAAATTCAAAATGAAAAAAATATAAAAATATTAATTAAAATATAAACAAACAAATTAAATAATTTCATCATGTTTGATCTATTATCCAGCTGCACATTAGTAGAATTCAGGTAGTAAAACCTTGTAGTTTTAACAGCACCCGACATAATCCGAATCAACATCTAGTGGCTCCTAAAACAATTTGAAAGCATATGTCATAAAATTTAGAATGACAAGATAAATTAAATTCATTAGAATACCACTAAACTCACCCTTGTATATAAAGTACTAGAAATAACATCTCCGCAATATACAACCCGTACACAATTTCAATCACTATAAAATTTCATATACAGCTCAACCATTAATCAAAAAATCAAATGATAAAAAATTTTCAATCAAACTAGTTGAATGTTGTTCAAACAAAAAATACAAAAAAAAAAGAATATAGATTTAGATAAAAATAAAAATTAAATATAACTCTCATCTAATCATATATTATTAGTTTAACAAGCATTTTTAAGTTATCCAGGTTGAATCATTTCAGATAAAGAGATTCAAAGGAAATGAGAAGAAGAGAAAACACAACAATTACATAATGATGCATGAACACCTAATGGAGGAGAGGAGCAGACCCATAAAGTTGATGACTAAAGATGAGTGCTCACGGTGTTTCAAAACACAGCAAAACAATGGTGAAGGTTGTCAGTGGTGAAGAAATGGGAGAGGAAGAGAAGAGATATGAGGAGACAATGAACACAAAAAATGAATGTTTGATTTGAGGGTGGGGGTCTGATATAAAAGGTATATTGGATAGTTAACATTTTAACCTTCCAATATAAGAGATATAATTAGACAATTATTAATAATTATCATGTAATATATTTTTTTATTTTAAGAATTTTCAAATATTTGAAATATTCAAACATATATTGAATGGTAGATATATTAAACAGTTATTAATAGAATCATTCAATAAGTATAAATATTGGACGGTTAATATTATAACAATTTAATAAGACCTGTCATTTATTCTTCATTCTGTAGTAGTGCAATAGATTATTTTGAGCATCTTTCATCCAATATCATTACTTCTTGTGATGGACTACCATTACTCCACATTAGCATTAAATTTTTAACTAATTCTGAGAAAGATTTGTGCTTTAATATAGCTTGTTTCTGTGTGGGTCAGAGTAAAACCTATGTCACACAGTTGTTAAAAGGCTCATGATTTCCCTTAGAAATAGGAATGCCTGTACTCATTAAGCATTACCTTGTAAAGGTCAAGAATGACAAGCTTTATGTTCATGATTAGCTGCGGCAACAAGTAAGAAGCCGTCCTGAGAAGCCAAAGCTGAAATATAGTTATGATGTATTCTTATGTTTTAGAGGTGATAATACACGTAAATCACGTAAATCCTTTGCTACTCATCTTTGATATGCTATAAAGCAAGTAGGTATTGACATGTACATGGATGAAGAATGAATTGAAATAGGAGGAAATATTTCATCTTCACTGCTCCAAGCAATCAAAAGTTCCAAAATTTCAATAGTTATATTATCAAAGACTGATGCTGGCTCTAGTTGGTGTTTGCAAGAATTAAGCAAAATCACCAGATCTGAGGTTGCCGTTGCCGGAGCTACTCCTTGTCGATTGTCCTTTTGTCTCATTCCTTGCCTTCCTTGCTATCGTGCTTTGAGCTTTCTTCTTGTTCTTCATCATCTGATGCTCTGCATTTTTCTATGTTCGTTATCCGTTAGTTTCGCCATCCATGAAGAGTTGCATTTGTTGATCATGGTCCTTAAATAGTAGAATACTGCATCAAATTGTTCTGTAATGTGGAGAAACCACTTCTAAGTAGGGAATGCTGGATGCAAGATCGGAAGGTGAAGATCTCGGTGCTTCAATGTAGAGATCTTAGTGCTTCAACCGAGGTGGAGATTGACTGAGGTTAGGTCCCGGATGTAGAGCTCCGGAGGTGAAGTAGAGGAAGGTGAAGTAGATCTAGAGGTGCAGCTCAGGAGGTCACGGGAGGAGCAAAATACCATGCACAGCAAGATAAAATAATCAGACAGCCTCGTGGATAGATAGATAAGAGGAGAGAGAAAGCATAAAAAATTTAACACATCATTAATGCTTCCAACGACTTCTAACATTAACGCTGATGCTAAACCCACGTCTTTGGGCTTCCAAAAAAATGCTCGGTTATGGCTAATTGAGATTGAAATTTTTTTCCTAATCCAAACAACACAAAATGAGCTTTTTATATCCTAACTTTAGTTTGACTGATTCTAACTAAAGTTGAAAGTTAATCTAAAATGCACTTAGTCCCTTTCGTGAGGTCAGAATTGCGTGCAGTGCATTCCTTGCCTTTTTTTTTTTTTTAAAAGCAATTATCAATAACACCCATTTACCCACCTATATTTACATTTTTTTCCTTTAAAAAAAAAAAAAACACTGGTGCACCCACTTATCCTTTCCGTTATGTTGGTTCTGACACTCCTTATTGTAACATCCTAATTTTTAGATAAAAAAAATTTATGAAATTTAAGTTTTTTTTAAATGATGATAATAATAGGAATTTATATTATTTGAGGTTATTTGAAAATAATAATATGGGTAGGCATTTAATTATGAATTAAAAACTTAATTTTAAAATTATATAAGAAATATTTTGTTAAGATATAATTTTAAGATTTAAAAAAAATTATTATTAATGTGTGTGTGAGAGTTAAAAAAAAAAGAAAAGAAAAGAAAGTAAAAAAAAAAGGGGATGGGGTTTAGTCCCACATCGGTTAGATGTGGGAATGAAAGGCACCTCCTCATGTATAAAAAGAGGAGGTGCATGGTGGAGGAAGCATAAGGAATTATTTATTGCAATTTGTGAAAATTGCAACTAAGGGCCCAAGATGCAATTTGTGAAAATTGCAAGTAATGGCCCAAATGTTTGAATAATTAAATTCAAACCTATAGTTTTTTTTAATATAATTTTAGGACCCACAATCCCATTTTTATATTATTTTTCTCTCTTCCTCTCACGTTGCTCGGCGTCTTCTTGCAAGGGAGGATTATTTTTTTTTCTTCAGGTATGTTCTAACTTTCCTGTTTAGATTAGCATTTAAAAATTTATTTAATTACAAAATTAATTTTATAGTTATTTTCTAAATAATATTAGCTTTCTAGTGATATGATTATTTTGTAGGATAGAGTAAATATTCTGATTAAGATTTTTCTATAGGATAGTTAATCTGATGATATGATAAATTAAAAATATAGGTTAAAACTCTTAGGGATATAATAAATATTATATAATATTTTTTTGAGGTTGAAACTCATATTTAAGAATTTTTGAGTTAAAATCTAGATCTATATGGTTGAATTTATGTGGAATCTGAGATGTAGGGATAAACCTATGATTATTAAATATTTATTTAAGTATGAATAGGTATTTTTGAGGTTACAGAAAGGTGATTTGAGGCTTCAGGATAATTCTAAAATTTTTAATTTATTTTTGGACGAATTTTTAGAATATAGAAGGATGAAATTGTGATACTAGAAGTGAATTGAGGATAAAAAAATAGTTTATTAGGGTACGAAAATTTTAAAAAAGAATTTGAGAAGTTAAATGAGGCATAAATCTTAAATTAGTATTAATATGGATTATAGATCTAAGACTTTCTAACTCTTTAAATTAGAGTTATTTATTTTAATGTAAAATTAATATATAGTATTGTGAAATAATTATGTAGATTATATTGACAAAGATAGTGGTGAACAAGGAGTTGTGAAGGGTAACTTGTTATTCAAGACACAAGGTAACCATTATTAATGTGTTGTGATGGGTGTTTTTGTGAATGGTTATGTGTTGTTTTGTTGTTTGGGAAAAATTATGAATTATTGAAAATAAATACTGTATATACTTGTTTGAAATTATTGCCAAGTGGGTTAAAAATTTATTTTTGTTTATCATGATGAGATATTATTGTTCGGATATATTCTTGTTTGGATATTTGAATGATGCATGACTTGTCAGGGTATTTTAATATATGGTGTTAATGGGAATTTCTGTTCGGTTAATTATTACCACGTGGTAAGCCCTCATTGGACCCAATGAGTGGCGTGTCGCTTGGTCCAACTCACCTTTGGCCGGGTGATTTGGCGTCCGAGCATGGCGAAAGGAGGATATAAGGTGCAGTCGTGCAAAATAAATACTTGTTCGGTTTGTTTGAAAATATTGTTCGATTAAATATTTTGTGTGCCCACTTAGCAATCGCATGATTAGTTACATCCGCATACATCATTACATATTAATTTTTGGTTACTGGAACTTTTAAGTCTCATTCCCCGTGGTTAACATTTTTACAGGAGCGAGTCCGGTCGAGAAAGCACCAGAGGTGTAACTATGGTGTATGAGACACCATCTTTTATGTTGCTTCTTATTTTGGATTATACAATGTATCTTGCGCCAACTTAGGACATATCTTCTTTGTGAAGCATGTAAACTCTAATCCTTTTTATTAAAAGTATTTATATGACCAAGAGGATTATGTCTGTCCCTCTTGATTCATGACCTGAATTAAATATCATGCCATGAGGATCCTGTCTGTCCCTCATGGTTCTAATTAGGGGTGTTCACGGGACGGGACGGGACCGGAACACCCTCGTCCTGTGGCCCGTCCCGAAAAATGATCGGGACTCAAAATTTGTCCCGTGTCCCGTCCCGTCCCGGAAGTTGTCCTGTCCCGAAAGGAGTCGGGACGGGATCGGGACGGGACCGGGACGTCCCGAATGCACATCAACAAGATTATTACAATCTTCCAACTTATTAATTGACAAGAATAAGCATATGTTACATTAATTAGAACCCCAAAAAATTTTAATGCAAATTTCATTATGAATATGATTAATCATAGAAGTAATGACAGACTAGAAGAATTAAACCATATAAATTAAATTTTGTTCACAACTCAACACCCAGATCTTTTTCTTTGAAAATATTTCTTAACAATGTCCTACTTTTATGGGAGATTTGGAGAGAAAAAAATTACCTCATACTGCTTCCATTTGAACGGCACTTGAATTCTTCCCATATTCTCCATCACTTCAAATTCCTTCCCTGTAAAATCATATTGAAATAAAAAGATTCAGTCTTGTTATTTGCCTAAAGTATTCCTATAATTAATTTATCATTAATTGTAGAACTGAAATTACTGTAAAAACACATTAAAGTTTTGAGAAAGAAGCTACTTTTAGCGTGCCCCTGCAATTTATAAGTGGCAAAGAAAGATTGCCTCTGCTTTTAGCGTGCCCCTGTAATTCATAACCCTGATACTTAAAAATTGCTATGGTAAAGAAAGAAACAAATTAGAGGAAACAAATTTATTGTAAGCAAAGCTATACTATGTCAAGGTATTAAACCTGCCACTTTTTCTTGACCTTCTTCATACAATGTAGTCTCAATTAGTGATGCCGCCATCTTCCCCATAAGAATATGCTTAGTCATGTAGAAAAAAAATTCAAGAAAAAGAATGCTTTTGGAAATACCAAGATTTCCTACTAAAAGAAAAAAAAGCAATAACAGAAAATCAAATTAAATCAAGTCTAAGAAGAACATTTCAGCAGCAACATTCAAAAGACAAACAACAATAACAATTCAACAAATACAGCTCAACAAAGACAAGTAACTTCCAAGTGATAAGTGCAACAACAAGTCAAGAATCAACAATTTAATCCCCAAGGATAACTTCAACTTTAAGTCATTGCTCTTCCTCTTCAACTGAGATATTTGAAGCCAATGATTCTTCTGAAAATAAAACAATAAACATAATATAAACAAAAATTATTAAATATAGATAAACGAAAAGTTAAATCATATTAAAAGAAATAATCAATTATAAAAAATGATATTACCTTCCACAGCTTGCTCTGTATCGTTAAAATCATCAACGTCAACACCCTTCAATTTTGCAGTTGATGGAGATAGCCAGTTTTGGGCACAAATTAGTGCCTCGACCATCTTTGGAGATAGGGAGCTCCTAGAATCATCAATTACACGACCTCCTGTGCTAAATGTAGATTCTGAAGACACAGTGGAAACAGGCATGGCCAATACATCACGTGCAATCAATGAAAGGACTTTATATTTAGCCGAATTCAATTTCCACCACGTTAAAATGTCAAAATTTGGATCAAGTGCTTCAGCTAACTCATCATGCAAATACTTGTCCACCTCTGCATACTTATCTGCTTGAATCTCAGTCTCTTTTTGGGCGAGAAATCTTTGAAATGAAGCCTTAGACCTAGAACTTAAGAAAGTTAAAGGCCTACGATCTGATCCAAGTGATTGAGTCAAACTACTTTCACTTGCTCCTTGTGTCTGACTTTGACTCTGACTTTGAGTCTGAGATGTGTCAACCCCACTTGAATAATGATCATACAAACGATATAAGACATCTGAGACCTTTTTTGTCATAGCTTCACGTTGTGTAGCCTCAGGAAACATATCCTCAAAAGCAAACTGCAAATATTTCATTTTATACCTTGGGTCAAGTACCACTGCTACCACAAGCAAAAGATTAAGTTTCTCTAAGTTCCCCTAATACTTATTATACTTGGTCAACATGCTCTTAGCCATACCACAAAGCAAGGAATCATGATTGTTTGCACTTTCATATAAAACTGCAAAGACATCAACTATCTGTTGAAAGCAAACATTTGAGGTCACATAAAGTGATCCTGAAAATTGCAAAGTAATATCATAGAACACCTTTAAAAAGATTACAAAATCTTTTGCATCCTTCCAATCATTTTCATTAGGGGGACCAATCAAATTTTTATCTAAGAAGAAGTTTCTATAATCATTATCTTGCTGCTCCATCCTCTCAAAAACGCTGTAAAATTTAATTGCACTCTCTAACATTATGTAAGTTGAATTCCATCGAGTTGGACAATCCATGCTTAGTAGCCTCCTTGAATCAATTTTCATTTTTTCCACAAGCTCCTTGAATTTATGAAACCTTGATGGAGAAGATCTCACATATTTAATGGCATTCCGAATGCCTTCAATACACTTGTGCATATCCTTCACACCATCAGAAACAATCAAATTTAAGATATGCGCACAACAACGCAAGTGCAAGAACTCCCCATCACAAACTAAACCATTCCAATGCCTCAAGACCCCCTTTAAAGATGCCAAAGCAGTGTCATTAGAAGAAGCATTATCAACCGTGATTGTAAACACCTTATCAATACTCCAAAACAGCAAGCATTTCTTAATTTCTTGAGCAATTGTTTCTCCCTTATGATTTTCAACTACACAAAAATTCAAGATTTGCTTTTGATATGTCCAATGCTCATCAATCCAATGAGCAGTTAAGCACATATAACTGGCATTTTGATTGGAAGTCCAAGTATCGGTAGTGAGAGAAACACGGATTTGAGATTTTTTAAAATACCTTTTCAACTTTCTAGCTTCTTCAAGGTATAACTTGTAGCAATCTCTAGTAACTGTCGCTCTTGAAGGGACTTGAAAGCGAGGTTCTAGCCTTCTCATCATCTCTTTAAAACCATCACCTTCCACAACATTAAAAGGCATTTCATCCAATATCACAAATATAGCAATGGCTTGTCTGCAATCTAGTTGATTAAATAGATGATGGCTGAAAGTTTTAGATGACCCTAATTGAGAGCCTGATAGCAAAGACTGTGCCAACTTGTTTGCTTTGTTCGGATTTCTGGGATATCTTTTTACATGTTTTCTCATTCCATTTGTCCCATGTCTTGTAGAGTCACAACCAATTGTCATTGGGCAGTACTTACACTTAGCACGGGGTTCTCCATTAGTTTTGTCCAACGGCAACCTTTCAAAATGCGCCCAAACAGCTGATTTATGTCTCTTTCTTCTACTTTCTCCTTCATTCTTTGACTCATTTTCCTCTTCAGTATTATTAGGTGATGAAGCATTTTTTGTTTCTACATTTTCTTGAAGGGTGGGTGTAGTGGCCATTTTTTTTTGCACTGTAGATTTGGCCAACAGCAACAACAACAATTACCCTTAACTAATTAAAACGTCATATTAAATATTCAAATAGGAATGCATAAAAATCAAGGGCATTAAATTTCAATCTAAATCATGTAACCAAATACTTAAATAATCTATATGGTTAATATTTGTTTTACTTAATCCAGAGGATGCAAATAAAATTGTGCATGTAACAGGTTCGGTTGGAAGCATCACCACTTCTTGTTCTTGTTAAATAGAATTCTAACACGTAAATTAATATAATCAAGTTAATTAAAACATGGATATATATACTACATTTGTAATGAAGTATCTACTTTTGTCAATCTACAAATATAAATAGTATATACATGGGCACATATATTTCAAATATAAATAGTATTTTTCTTTACCAATAGAACCGTAAAATCTCATACACAGAACAGAAGAGGATATACATGGGCATTGATTTATCAACTCGAAATACCAAACATAAGCTCAATCATCTCATCCCTATTAATTTATTTCTCAGCATTCAACAAGACAATAAATGAGCAATAAAACGCACCAGATTTGAGGACTCCTTGCAGATCTGAGTAGAAGAGAATGATGGATTTGAGGTAGCACCAGATCTGGGTAGAAGAGAATAACCTTGCAGCTACGTCAAATAACCTTGCAACAAATACCTTTTAGCTGCATCATGTGAAGGTGGAGAAGGAGGCGCGAGCATGAAGGCGAAGCTATGCGAAGGGAATAATAACACTTGTGCAGCTCTCGTCTTCGAGGTTACGAAGATGTGGAACTGGAAGACATGAACAGAGAAAGCGTTGCTGTGCGAAGGGAATAATACCAGTTCAGAAATGAGATTCAGGGAGGAATGTGTGGAGCTGTGCTGTGCGAAACCGAAATTGAAGGTTTGCTCTGCTGAGCTGTGCGATACTACGATTGATCTGCGAGACTGCGATTGCGATTGAGGGTTGGAGGCTTGGAGCTGGAGGCTGGAGCTTTGAAAGGGAGATCTAGAAAGTGGAAAGTGGAAACCGAAGTCTGGATCTGGAAAGTGGATCTGGAAACTGAAATCTGTCGCATGCGTGGTGTGTCTTAGCTGTCCTGAAAATTAAAAAATGCCATTAAAAATCAGTTTAATTAAAATAAATAAATAATAGTTAAAATTAATATATATATATATATATATAATTATATGCTGAATATAAACGGGACGGGACGGGATGTCCCGATGGCTGGCCCGAGTCCCGTCCCGTCCCTATTTTGGCCCTGTCCCATAAAAGTCCCGTCTCGAATTTTTTTGGGTCGGGACAGACCCGTCCCAATATGATCGGGACGAGCACGGGCCGGTACGGGTCAGTCGGGCCGGGTACATCTTGAACACCCCTAGTTCTAATTGCTTTTTGAGATATTTTAAGACCTGTGGTATATTGTATTGGATGTACCATGGTAGAAATTTTTCTACCATGATAAGGGTATGATGAGGGTTCAATGAAAAAAATGATTTATTGAATTAATAATTTGCGAAAAATCGGTTTGTAAATTTGAAGGTGTTACATATTGGTATCAGAGCATCATGTTTCGAGCCTATATTTTAGTAACACTTATTTAAACTTTTGTTTGAAACTATTATTTGTGTGAATTTAATATGTATTTATTATGTGTGGTGCATTGCATATAGTCGGTTGGCAATATACATTGTTATGGTGCTTTTCATTGTATGGCCATTATATAGCTAGGCTAATTTTATTATTTATATCTTGTATCCTTTAGGAGGGAAGAGAAAATGCCTGTTACTCGCGGTAACTCAGGATTCCAACATGAGCACCTGCCACCGCCACTGCCAAATGAGGAGCCTGACTTGGCGGAATTGAGAAAGCTTGTGAAAACATTAACAGACAAGGTTCAAGGATACGAACAAGAGTTGACGGAGCTAAAGAAGCAAAAGGTAACTGAAAATGGAGATAGGGCTCATGTTGAGAGTCATGTGGGGGAAGGCAGTTTCTCACATCCTGCCACTCCGAGAGATCATGAGTCTAGAAGGGAGGAAATTAAGCAGGAGGAACAGAGAGCCCCACCGACCATTACTGATGTGTGAGAAACTATTATGAAGTTTAACCCTCCTACGTTTGATGGTAACCTTAAACCATTCGTGGTAGAGGAATGGGTGAAGAGACTCGAGTCCATCTTTCGAGTAGTCACATGCACCAGCAATCAGAAAGTACAAGTAGCATTAGTGCTCCTAGTGAAAGGAGCAAGAGATTGGTAGGAGACAGCAGGGCCCAGGGATGATTCTACACTCACCTGGGAGGAATTTAAGGAAAAATTATTTAGGCATTACTTTCCAGCAGAGTTAAGGTCTGAGAAGGAAGCGGAGTTCCATGCCTTTAAGCAAGGGAACCTCGATGAGGACACATTCATTGCTAAGTTTCAGGAGTTATCTAGATACTCCATGTACCTGCAGTATAGGGATGATTCTGAATGGAAGGCCAAGTGGTTATTGGAGAAGGCTAGACCAGAATTAAGGGAGCAATTGGCTCATCTAGATATCCGAGATTATGACGAAATATGCATAAAACTACAAGTAGTAGCTCGTAGTAAGAAGGAGGTCGAGAGAGAGAAGAGGGGTTATTCATATAGTAGACCCCCAACCTACCCTCGACCCACCAGAGGCATTATGAAGAAAAACTATCAGGGTTCGAGTAGCTCATGGAACCAAGGAAGGCAGAAGGGTCTATTTCAAAGGGATCAAGGACAGAGGAGCTATCATAGTAGTTATCAGGGGTCACAGAGGAGCCCAACAGTATCTACCCCTGCCCCGAGTACAGCGAGCTTTCAACAGTGCACTAAATGCGGGCGTCGTCATTTCGGACAGTGCTGGGTCTGTTACATTTGTGGGAAACCCGATCACATTGTAAAGTTTTGTGGGGACAACCGGGGCTCAAATATGAAGAACCCTTCCCAACATCCTACTGTCTCTGGCCGTGTGTTTGCTCTTACTCAGGACACCATGAACTCCCCAGATGCCATTAGAGGTAACATCAAAATCCTTCATCATGATATTGTTGCATTATTTGATTCGGGTGCTATACACTCTTTTATTTTTGAAACTTGTGTAAAGAACCTTGATTTGCCTGTGTGTATTTTACCTTTTGATATGAATGTGTCTACTCCTGCGGGAGAATCTGTGAGGACTACTAAGACATGCCTTAACCTAGTGGTCGAGTTTAAAAATAGGAAAACAACTATGGACTTAATTATCCTACCACTGAGAGGTATGGATGTAATTGTGGGAATGAATTGGATGGCTGCAAATGGTGCTATCCTAGATTGTAGAGAGAGGAGTATGTCTTTATCTTCTTTGTCGATGACCCCAGTCGAGACTCAAGATCATGTTTTCTTGTCGGCGGCGCAAGTTGATAGATGTATGAAGAAGGGTTGCCAGGCCTACATGGTTTTCTTCTCTATCCAAACTGAGATTGATGAAGGCGTGAAGAATATCCCAATTGTCAAAGAATTTGCGGATGTATTTCCAGACGAAGTCTCCGGTTTACCCCCAAAGCGTGAGGTAGAGTTCTCAATTGAATTGGTACTCGGTACAGGGCCAATTTCTAAGGCTCCTTATTGGATGTCCCCTTCAGAGTTAGCAGAACTGAAAAAGCAAATTGAAGAGCTACTTGAGAAGGGTTTCATCAGACTGAGTGTTTTACCTTGGGGATCTCTAGTCCTTTTTGTAAAGGAGAAGGACGGAAGCCTCCGATTGTGCATTGATTATAAACAATTGAACAAAGTAACCATCAAGAACAAATATCCACTTCCGAGAATCAATGATTTGTTGGATCAGCTTGTGGGATCCGCAGTTTTCTCAAAGATTGACTTAAGGTCAGGGTACCACCAATTGAGAGTAAGAGCGGAGGATATACCTAAGACAGCATTTCGGACGAGATATGGGCATTATGAATTCATGGTGATGCCGTTTAGACTTACGAATGCTCCTGCAGTGTTCATGGATTACATGAGTAGGATCTTTCGACCCTATTTAGATAAGTTTGTAGTAGTCTTTATTGATGACATTCTTATTTATTCAAAGGATGAGGAGGCTCATGGTGAGCATTTAAGAATCGTCTTGCAAGTTTTGAGGGAAAATAAGCTTGCCAAATTAAGTAAGTGTGAATTTTGGCTCCAAGAAGTAAATTTTTTGGGCCATATTGTGTCCAGAGATGGAGTTGCGGTGGATCCTAGCAAGATTGATGCAGTGATGAAGTGGGAACAGCCAAAATCTGTGACGGAGATACAAAGCTTTCTAGGTTTAGCAGGTTATTATCGTCGCTTTATTAAGGGATTTTCACAAATTGCGATGCCCTTGACTAAGCTGACTAAAAAGGATGCCCCATTTATTTGGACTGACAAATGTGAAGCTGCTTTCCAAGAATTGAAAAAGAGGTTAACCACTACTCCAGTATTGACTATTCCTGACCCTGTGGTGCCGTACACTCTGTACACTGATGCTTCTTTAAAGGGTTTAGGATGTGTTTTGATGCAAGATGACCGAGTGGTTGCCTATTCCTCTAGACAGCTGAGGCCACACGAGGAAAATTACCCTACACATGACTTGGAGTTGGCTGCAGTTGTGTTTGCTCTGAAGATATGGAGACACTACTTGTATGGATCTAAGTTTCAAATCTTCAATGACCATAAGAGCCTGAAGTATTTATTTGATCAGAAAGAGCTTAATATGAGGCAGCGACGATGGATGGAATTTTTGAAGGATTATGACTTTGAATTACATTACCATCCAGGTAAGGCTAACGTGGTAGCTAACGCCTTAAGTAGGAAGACTATTCATGCTGCACATTTGATGGTTCATGAATATCATTTGTGGAACAGTTTTCATGATATTCCAGTGGATGTGATTGAACATCAAATGGCTGCACTCCAGGTAGCAGACTTTGAGAGCAAATTTTGAGAAGATCTCAGAGTCTCACAGCAGAGATGATGAC